AGTAGCTTGATCCAAATTTCGTAGGAGGACCGAGTTACTCTGTCAGGTGGGACCTTTCGAGTCACTACTGTTAACGCATCCCGATACGCCCACCCGTTTTAGATTGTTTATCTGAAGTGAACTATGTGTTAAGGGGGGGAGGCTGGATTGACTGCATGTGCTCTTCCTCCTCACACCTCGCCAATGTGAAGCAGGCCGCACATTGACCGCGATTTTTCAGGAGTGAGGTCACATGAAGAAGCCAGTGCGGTCTGGCCCTTGTGGCAGAAGCGAATCGGGACTGCTCTCTTTCAAGCTATTGCATGTATTGTGTCGTAATCATTTTGGGTGCATCAATTTTGACACAATGCAGAAGGGTGCCCTGGTATGGGTTTTATTTTCCATCCCTATTCCCTGCACCAGTGATCCTTATCTGGTTTTAGGATGGGCTACCCGCACGTCAACCTCATTTTTAGCGTACAATGTCTTATCAGTAGCCTTAAATAAACTTGGGAAATGTAACATGTGGCATTCGGTAAATGGCAAAACGGTGCCTCTCGTACCAGTAGTTGAAGGAAATGTTTTAGATGGGTTTATACTTATTTATTTCAGACTGTGTTTGCCCTGATTGACTGGGCAACTTCTCAACTAGGAGTCCATAGACCAGTATATGTGTAAGTTTATACTAGATGATTTTCTATACAGGCCAGGCTTAAGTACTGCTTTATCTGATAATCAGAGTATTTTGACCTAAGTTTCTGTATTTTTTCGTGTCTAAATAGGCTGCGTTGATCATTGCTTACGAAGAGTAAATTGATCTCGCAATTTCAAATAACACTCGTTCGCTGTACATGCCTAAACCTTAAACCTCAGACTAATATAACCTGCTCTTCTAACACAGATACCGGCGATGCCACCGCCAACGAAGGCACCAACCAAGACGGCAACCCCAGCAACACCCTCAGTCGATCAACCTCCGTTCGGGGCTCTCGCCTCTTCGAGCCCGCTTTTGAGAACTTGCGTGAACCCGGCCCAGTTGCTGCCTCCGTCCTCAGTCGTACTCGTCAACAGCCCCGTTCCTTCATGTCCCCGCGACTA